CACCCGATACAATGGGCTTTCGTCTACCCTTTGTTACGCACTAATAGAGGTCGGGAGCACGACTTGCTCTCAGAGCAGAGTTTGCCCAGCCCTGCTCTAGAGTGATGGGCGATGTGGATCGTCGGAAATTTCAGCCTATTCTTTGACAGGCTGGATAAAGTTTTTCGGTGGACACACACACACGTTCAGTTTGTTTTTCCTTTTATTGCTTAAAACTTCAGGTCCAGTGTATTCACTTCAAGTTGCTAAATAATATATTCTAATATTAATACGTTGTTCACGTAAAACTGTTCATTTATTTATCTGATGGTTTTAGAATTTAGACGTTGGGTGCATCGTCAAAGACCCGGGCGGTAATTTTTTTGGGAAAGATAATTTCTATTGGAATGAGGAATGGGTGGAATAATCAAATCGAAAATTGAGTGAAATGTCAACCACAAAATCTCAAGTCCAATAAACCATCCGTAAGGGACGACCAATTGACCCACGAGAAAGCGGAGTTGACAGGAATCAGCCGCAGAATCCTGAGGTCGACAGACCGTCCCCAAAGGGCCAGTTAGTTTTCGTCGAAAATAGCGGGGTTGATAGTTAACCTAGAAGAACGGCCTCACCAGAATAGCATCGGGTAATCCCGACGCGAGTCCAGCCAGTCAGCCACGACTCTCCCTAGTCAACTTGTATCAGCCGCAGGCTCGCGGAATTGATCCACAAACCAGCGGGGTTGATAGGATGAGATAGGATGGGAATTAATTTTCAAACGTGAGAAGGGCTGTCACTTAGGAGAAACGAATGGAAACAATTCAATTAAAATTTTATTTCAAATTCGCGACCGAGCCCGGAATCAGTACAATGCACCGTCGAAATCGGAACGAAATTATGCATTTAAGCGAAAAAATAGTTTTAGTCTGGAATTGTGGACTGAAAATCTTCCCTATAGAATTTAAAAATGAATTTAATTTGGAAATAGGTTACATGAAAATTTTCGATCATAGAAAAAAAATGTTAATTTTCGAAAATTTATAAAGTCCAAGAGGACAGAGCACGAAAAATTTCAAAGTCCAAGAGGACAGAACACGAAAAAATTCTAAGTCCACAATTCTCGATTTTTTTCTAAGTCCGAACTGGTTACTTTTAATTTAATTCACGGAGCTCTTCTGAGCTTATGACCGGCGATTCCGAGCGTTGACGTTGAACTGACTGTTTGGTCTGGCATCGGAAGGTACATAGACTGAAAAGTCTAAGTACTCTAAAGAGTACTGCGTTGAACGTGTAGACTTGCTGCCTAATAGTGGGGATCACGCGTCGAGTATACCCCTATATATTAAGTATGGCACATAGCTAATACTGTGGCACCCATTATGTCTCTACAAATTCGAATTTGAACATTTTACGTATTGTAAAATGAATTACGCTATTTTTCATAATAAAATAATTGGTTTTCGAACAAATTTTATGTTTGATTGTCACTATGGTTTAAATGTTTCCTTACTGTATCCTTGTGGTACTACAATTGTTCATTTTTGTGTATTGATTTTGGATTTTGCGTTTTTTGCAAAATTCATTTTTGAGTCCATTTCTATGGTAGTAACATGATTCCGATGATAAAACCTTTTTTTTCGATTTTTTATAACATTTCAATTGTTAATAACAATGTTAGTTATTAACTTAGGCGAATGCCTCCTAGCGTGTCTGAAAGAACTTGATTTATCATAGTTTGACACAAAATTTCAGATTTTTATCTCTGCAATCTTTGGAGATATTTGCAATTAACCATTTGACCTTGAAGATGTG